TGCCCCTCGGAGCCTGCCTGCCGCGGGCACGCAGGTGCGCGGTGGCCGTGTGCGGGACGGGCCGCGGGGGGGCGGGGGCGGCGCTGGGCTGGTCTGGCTAGCGCCCTGTGCGGGCCCGGGGCAGGCACCGGCGGAGGGACGGCTTCCCGGGGTGGAGGTGGCGGGGGGGTGGCTCGGAGCAGACGAGCCCGGGGGCTGCCGGAGCAGCAGGAGGGCAGAGCCCGGCCGGGGACTGCGGCCATCTGAGCAGAGCTGGCCGGGAAGGGCGCGCTCTCCGGGCAGCTGTTGGTTTTGTGGTTTCTTTTGCACACCCCTGTCGAAATCCCATCTCGAGAAGCGTTCTTTTTGAATTTGCACTTGAATTAGCAGCGACCCAGGGAGCTCAAAATACCGACTTTATCTGGGCGAGCTCGGTGCCAGCCGGAGTGGTGTGTTTCCGATTCGGTTGAAAGCGTATTTCCTCTCCTGGAGGGGGTGGTGGTGCCTGCGAGAACACTGCAGCCGAGACGCTGGCAGCCTCCCTGATTAGTCACATACCACTGCTCATTTAAGGACTGCTGGACAAAACAGTTTCTCGTGTGGAGCAGGAGAGGTTCAGATGTGTGAGGCGCCCTCCAGATCAAAAAGTTATTAACGGCGCCGGGAGGTATTGTAAACATTTTTTAATAGAGATGATTCCTGCGAATACTGTGTTCTAAAAGTCCCTTAGAGAGTTAGCAGGGAATTACCTCCATTTATGGCCTCAGGTACACGATGTTTTTCATAAGGATACGGAACGTATAGAAGAGCTACGTTGCAGCTTTGACTTAACGCCGTGTGTTTTACATTAAGTCGGTACCATAAAATTTCCGGACCTGAACTACTCGTATTTCACTAACTACTCGCTGACTTCTAAGGTTTTATACTCTGTATTTTAGATTTTTCTGTAACTTGAGAGCTACTGATCTGAAGCTAAATATCAGATTTAACTGCTAGCTTTTTATGCGTTTTAGTAATTCATGTCGTATGCGTCATTTGAAAAGGGGCCTGTAGAATCATTTTCTGTTTTGGAACGAATTCCAGGCATTTGGATGTGTTAATCTTTAAATATGATTCCGGTGTTTCTTAAAGTCACATCATGAATTTCCTGTTTGGTAGAATCTTCTGGGTATGGAGATTGTGCAATTGTGTCCAGCAACAGATCATATTGCATTTTCTAGTTCAAGCTGCTTGCTATGTTGCAGATCACACCATGCTTGACATCGTTCTTTCATTTTTACAGTATGGCAGTTTACATTTTAAAGGAAAGCTTTTTACATTCAGTGTATACATATATAGTTGATTTACTAATTTTCAAAGATGTATTGGAGCATTGCTCTTGATATTTAGTAGCTCATTAATATACACCTATTTTCCATTCTTGATTTGACACATTAATTTTTGTATTGTCAGGTTTTTGTTTTCGATGCTAATTAAGCTTCATTGGAGTGATAACAGCAGAATTAACTCAACTACAGAGAGTTTGCGTGAACTTGAATAGAATTGCTTGCAAGGTGTCCCTATTATTGGTGTGACTAGCTCTGCACTGGAACAGAAGCTCCAGAATTTATAGTGAAGTGCCAGTAAAATTAACTTCACATTTCTTTAGTGCTGTACTTTTCTGTGGTATAGAAGCCAGCAGTATCTGACACTTGAAAGTACTTACACTAAACGGATTTTTAGAAATAGGCAATACATTGACATTGCATAAAATTCAAAAGGTTGTAAAAGGGTAGTCGGTGACAAGTCTCCTTTCTGTTCTCTTTTGTCTTCCTCAGAGACAACCACTGTTAAGTGTCTTGGGTGTCTCTCCAGAGAGGCAAAGTAGTTTTTTTTTTCTTGTTTGTTTAGTAGTATTTCTGCTACAAGGATTTAAGATGTAACCTACAGTTTATTGGTGAAGAAAAATACAATTGAAATTGTATGACAATTGACTGTAAACAAATGTGATGATGTTGGAATTAAAATACCAGAACTTAGAGTTACAGGTGTTAATGTTATTTAGAGAAGTTATTCCAAGTTATTTTAATTTAACACTTTTTCAGGTGTGGTAGAAAATATTTTTGGAACTTCTATTTTAGAATCCCACTTTGAAACCTTTGTTACTTTCCTTCATTTTCATTCTTTGAGAGCAGATTTGATTTTAGGGAATAACAAAGTCAATTTGAATCCAAACAATTTAGGGAATTTGAACCCAAGTCTGATGAGAAAGATTAGGCAATCAGGTTGGTGATGCTGTTTTGGATCAGATAGGAGTTATAACTATAAACTAATAACAGAATTTTTTGTTTGACCTGTTGAGCTGGACCTGAAGTCTATTCCTCCCCCCAAAAATATCTCTGAATTTTATTCTAAGGAATGCAATATCCTTGAAATATTTGCCAGCTTCCTAATTTTATTGCACTGAAGTGTGATGGACTTCGATGTGTAACTTTTAAAAATTATTTTAAGCCAGTTTTATTATTTTAATTTCTACTAAGTATAGTAAAAAAGCCAATAGCTATGAATCAAAATAGGGTTTTACAAATATGCCTTTCCTTTAAGGGTAAAGAAAACTAAACTAAGTCTTGCAATTTTAAGGAACTTTATGCATTTTTTTTAAGGGGAAATGAAGCAAAATTGTTTAAAAATACATTGTTGCAAAGCATTGATCTTGTGGTTTTGGGACAGAAGGGGAGAATCTTTGTGGTGAGTTTAAGGAAATATAAACAGGAACTTAAATGCCTTTCCTCTGTGGCATGGCTTTTCCAGACCCTTACTGTTGATTAGAGGAGGTAGGGCACTGGTAACCATAAAATAGGAGGTAAGAATTGAGAATTACTCTCAGATCATATTCAACAATACTTATTGAATACCAACTATGGGTATTTGCAAGGTTCTAAGCAAAACAGAAACAAGACATTTCACTCCCTCATAGAGCTTAAAACCTACTGGGGTTAATAACTACATTTTGTGGATGGCTTACTATGTTTTAGGCATTGTATTGTGCACATTATATTTATCATCAGCATGTAAAGTATATAATATATAATATAAAGCATATAATAATCGTTAGTAAGAAGATGGCAAAATTTGCTAAAAAAATCAAATCCAACTTCCTCAGTGCTTTGTGGAACAAGATGTTTTTTGGTATTATTGGCCATTCATCATTTTAAGCGTTTTTTTATTTTTTAGAATAAGCCAGGATGCAAAAAAAAATAACATCATTATTAAGCTTACAAAGATGATTTTCTTGACTCCTGGTCAGTGAGAAGGGTGTGCCCTTTACTTTTCTAGTGGTTATAATAAGTCCATGCTGATCTTTCTTTCCATTTACTTCTTTTTGTAACCAAAAACAATGTAGTTGGTTGTATGTTACCAGTGCTAGTCAATAAGAAGTATTTAAACATACTTAATGGCAAATATTTGTATTATTGATGTATAAAGGCTGTTCTGAGAAAGAGTTCACATTTGGCTTTGAAGTTATCTTGATAAAGTTCCATTTTTTCACTAACACTTTTCCACTGGTTCCTGTGTAAAGTAAGAGTATCCTGGACCTCTCCAGCTTTTCAATCTGCCAGTTTAATTTTTTGATGCTGAGAAGTACTCTGCTTTTGATTTCTCTAGCTCAGTCTCAAAGATGGTCTGTGTTGACTTTGCCTTTCTTGGGCAACAGTGCAGATGTTGCTGAGCCCCTGGGGCTTAGGATTCAAAGGTAGAAGAATTCACTGGGCTAGATCACGCTCACTTTAGTATAAACTGACATTTTTATGGGATTTTGCAGTCAATAAACTGTTTTCACTCAAAGCATTATCAGTCAGTCCTCACTAGCTCCATGAAGACTGGTATTTATTAACCCAGTTTTATAGGTGAATTGGATTCATTCATTAAAGGAATGGCATACTCACCAGTGCTGCTTTGTTTTGGTTCTGGGGTTTCAACATTTTAGTGGTCTCCTTTCCTGTAGATGTGGGCTGCTGAGGTTGTGTGGTAGCATCTTTCTCTTGTGCCACCTTTTGTGAAAAAGGGGTTGCTAGGATAGAGTCACTCCTATTGTGAAACTTCTTTTGTGCAAAGGGGTTGCAGGAATAGTCACTTGGAGTAGAACTGTAACTGTAGGAGAGCAGCCCCACCAGTGTCATTGCCCAAGTAATCGAGGGGTAATGACTTAACCTATTAAAATCCTCAGAATTGATAAACCAAAAGTGCACTCAATGCCCTGGTTAAAAAAATTTTTCTGCAAGAATTATTAGGCAGTGCAAATAATTAACTTCTGAATTTGTGAATCCTATTGGATTGAAATTCTTTAGTGTACATTTATGTAAAGTTGGGACGATCTGTACATGTTTGTATTATGAAAGTATAGGATACAAATAGATATAACTGCTTCTCTAGGCCTTTGAAAGTACATCAGATTTTTGCTCTTTGCAGTAAAGTTTGGTATAAAGCTGATTTGTTCCTATTTAAGAAGCATAATTATATTGCTCAAAAAATCCTTATTATGCAGTGCGTTCCTCTAACTTGGAAAATAAGGGTTTCATCACCATGGTTGCTATGTACTTGGAAGTTATGTGCATGTTTCTTTGGGAAAAAGAACAAAAATCTCTTTAAACTTGAGGGATTTTTTTTTTGTAAAAGAAATATAGGTGAATCTTGTTTTATTGTGCTTCACAGATAACTGGACTTTCTGCAAATTAAAGGTTTGTGGCAACCCTGTTGAACAAGTCTGTCAGCACCACTTTTCTCCAACAGCATATATTCACTTTGTGTCTCTGTCACATATTAGTATTTCTCTCACTATTTTAAGCTTTTTCATCTTTATTATACGTTATGGTGATCCATGATCTTTGATGTTCCTATTGTAATTGTTTTGGGGTGCCTTGAACCATGCCCATAAAAGGCAGTGAACTTAATAAAAATTGTGTGTGTTCTGACTGCTTTACTAACCAGCTGTTGCCCTCTCTCTTCTTCTCCTCTGGCTTCCCTGTTCTCTGAGATACAACAGTATTTAAAGTAGGCCAGTTAATAACAGTGACCTTTAAGTGTTCAGATGAAAGGAAGAGTTGCATATCTTTTACTCTAAATCAAAAGCTAGAAATGATTGAGCTTACTGTGGAAGGTGTGTTGAAAACTGAGATAGGCCGAAAGCTAGGCCTATTGTGCCAAACCACTAAGTTGTGAATGCAGAGGAAAAGTTCTTGAAGTAAATTAAAAGTGCTACTTCAGTGAACACACAAATGATAAGAAAGCAGAACAGTTTTATTGCTGAGATAGAGACAGTTTTAGTGGTCTGGATAAAAGAGCAAACCAACCACAACATTCCCTTAAGTCAAAGTCTAAATCAGAATAAGACTCTAATTCTCTTCACATTTATGATGTCTGAGAGAGGTGAGGAAGCTCCGGAAGAAAAGTTTGAAGCTAACAGGTTAGCTTATGAGTCTTAAAGAAAGAAGCCTTCTCGATAGAATATATCTATAGCATAAAAGTACTAGGTGAAGCAGCAAATGCTGATGCAGAAGCTGCAAAAAATTTTCTAGAAGATCTAGTTAAAATCATTATGAAGGTAGCTACTCTAAACAGCAGATTTTCAGTGTAGATGAAACAGCCTTCTATTGGAAGAAGGTGCTGTCTAAAACTTTCATAACTAGA